ATCCACTACGCCACTTCACTGCCCCACTGGACAGCTTTCTGATTGTCTCTCCTGGTTCTCCTGCTACCTGTCTAACCATCTCATCCTCAGAATCATCTTCTGTTTCCTGCCTCGCCCCTTCCTACCTGTGGGAATGCCCTAAGGTTCTGTCCTAGGCACTCTTCTCTGTCCTGTAGAAAGCCTTTCCTGAACTCCTTACTTGCTAGTTCTTTCTGTCTTCCTCCTGAAATAATACAGGGTATCCCGAAAGTCTTAGTGCAGTTGCAGCCTCATTAAAGCTTCACTTTGAATTTTGTTTCAAGCCAATTTTATCCCCATTTTACAGATGAGGAAACTGAGGGGTTAAGTGATTTGCCCAGGATTACACAGCTACTAAATATCTGAGGCTAGATTTGATCTCAGGTCTTTCCTGACTCCAGGACTGGGTCTCTATCCCCTGAACTCCCTGGCTGAATTTCTTTACATCACAGATGCTTAAAGTAGGAGGGTGGGTAGGCACTTTTAAAAAAAAAATTTAAGCTCCAAACTGCACTAAGACTTTTGGGACACCCTGTATTATATTAACTTATTTGTATAAACATTGTATTCTTTGGTAGAATGAAAGTTCCTCGAAGGCTAGGACTGGTTTCCATATTGTTTTTGTATGTCCAGGACCTAGCACAATGTCTTCTACATTGGAGGAGCTCTATGTATTTGTTGAATTGAATTGTAGGTTGATATTATATTGTAAAGGTCTTTGAATGCCAGTTTGAGAAACGGGCCATTAAGAAGATTACCTTGATTAAATTTTATTTGTTTTCAAATGAATATGCTCCTCTTTCCCACCTCCTCCCACACCCTCCATTGAGAAAGCAAGAAAAATAAAACTCCTGTTGCAAACATGTATAGTCAAGCAAAATGGATTCTCTCATTGGCCATGTCCCCCCAAAACATATCTCGATATGCTCTGTGAGCCCATCACCCCCCTATCAGGAGTAGAGCAGCAGAGAATCCCCTCTGGCATTGGATTGATCATTGGGTTGATTAGAATTCCTAAGTGTTTCAAAGTTGTTTGTCTGGGTGGTCTTGTTACTATATAAATTATTCTAGGAAGATTATTCGAGCAGTGCTATAAGACATGAGTTAGAGAGCAGGGAAATTAGCGATTGCAAAAGTCCAGGTGAGAAATAATGAGAACCTGAACCAGGGTGCCTGGCACATAGTAGGCATTTAATAAATGTTTGTTGGCTGAATGACTCCTGCCAGCATTTCTTCCAGGGTGAATCTACCCTAGAGGTCGTTGGACATATGCCTGGTGACTTCTGTGGGCAACCTATGCTTTTTTGCATTTTTCATGAGGGGAGGCACCAGCAGTGGCTTAAACCATGCAGGCATCTACCTACCCCTCCCTCCTTAAGCCTCTGGAATGTAAAGGAATTCAGCCAGGGGGTGCAGTGGATAAAGCACCAGGCCTAGAGTCAGGAAGACCTGAGTTCAAATCTAGCCTCAGATATTTACTAGCTATGTATGATCCTGAGCAAGTCACTTAACCCCTGTTTGCCTCAGTTTCCTCATCTGTAAAATGGGGATAATAATTGCACCTACCTTCCAGGATTGTTGTGATGCTCAAACAAGATAATATTTGTCAAGTGCTTAGTAGTGTCTGGCACATAAGTAAGTACTATATAGATGTTAGCTGCTGCTATTGTTATTATCCTCTAGACCTGGATTAGGAGTCAGGTATCTTACTGTGTGACTTTTGTCACATCACCAACCTCTTGAAATTTAGTTTTTAGCTTTAAATCATGGAAGAACTGGCTGATCTTGGAGAAACCTTGCTAAAGATCTTTAAGAATGGGGGAATGAGAAGGAGAGAAGAGACCCACTTCTTGCATCTGCCCATGCAGGATGTGTTAAACAAGTGGTGTAGGGTATAGTGTGTAGAAGATAGAGTCAGAGGACCTGGGTTCAAATCCCATCTCTGGCCATCATGAGCAGTGTCACTTAGGGCAAGTCATCTGGGAGGCATTAGTTTGTTTATCTGAAGTTGAGGTGGGGGGTGGTTGGACTAGGTCCCCTCTAAAGGCTTCCTTCCGGCTCAAAATTTCCAAGCCTGTTCTGGCCAATGACAAACCCTCTTGCAGGTTCTTCCCAGGATGCTTTATAGAAGTTGGCAAGCCTTCCTCTTCTGGCATAATCCACCACTAGGTTGTTTTCCCTCAGCCTTCCCTGACACCCAATCGAAAGGAGAGAACACAGGCCGTGGCCGACCTTGACCTTGCTGTGTGCAGTAGCCAAGGCCTCTGGTGTTATGCAAAAGCAGTAGGAAAATACCCAGGCTTCAATTCCCAGCTGGGAGGAGCCCTTGGTGCCCAGCCCCCACCCCTCTCACTCTGTCCGTGAAGGAGGAGGAGCAACGGCAGCAGACGGGAAGCTTTCTTCTCCACCCCAGCTCCATCCCAACAGGAAAGTAGCCAGAGCTGCTTTGGCATTTCCTCCTCCCCCGACCGGACAGAGGAGAGAGCCCCGGTTGCAGTTCCTTTCCTGTGCAGAGGAGGCAAGGAGCTCGTGCTGGACACAGGCTTAGTTTAAATCAACCCCAGGAGGTGGAGGGAAAGGGGATGTGGATGTCTGCAGCTGCTGCCACCGCCAAAGCAACTCTGCCTTGTGATTACATATGTGTTAAGGATGGGTAGGTAGAAAGATAGATACGTGGATGGATAGATAAATAGATACAAGAAAGGATGGATACATACATACATATGTGGATGGATAGACAGATATGTGGATGGATAGATAACTAGATACATGGATGGATGGATACATACATGGATGGATAGACAGATATATGTGTATGGATAGATATAAATAGATACAAGGAGGGATGGATACATACATGAATGGATAGACAGAAAGATACATAGATGATGGATACATACATATACATGGAAGGATAGACAAGATAAATAGATACATGGATGAATACATATATGGATGAATGGATACATACATGGGTGGATAGATAGAAAGAGATGTGGATGGATAGATAAATAGATAAAAGGATAGATGGATAGATAGATAAGAAAGATAGATATGTGGAAGAATGGACAAATGGATGGATGGATACATATATACCTACATGGATGGATAGATAAATAGATACATGGATGGGTAGATAGATAAATAGATATGTGGTTGGATAGGTAAATGGATGGATGGTTAGATACATACATAGATACATGGGTGGATAGATGCAGATGTGGATGGATGGATAGAGCATTTATGAAGCACTTACTATGGCACTGTGCTACGCACTGGGAACATTTATATATAAACATATATACATAAGTGTGTGTGTATATATATATATTTTTATATATATATATTTTATATATATATGTATTTTATATATATATATATATATATATATATATATACACACACACACACATACATACATACATAGATACATACACACACATATACATAGACACACAGAAAGATAGTTCCTGCCTTCAAGGAACTTACATTCTAATGGAGAAAACCCACACATAGGTCACTTCACAGTGGAAGTATGAGGTGAAGCCATTAGGCCATGGGGGCAAAGTGGAAAAGCAGTGGGGATGGTTCATGAGCTGAGTGGGGTCTGATGTGAGCATAGCTAACATGGAGGGGTACTTCCTCAAATGGTGGTTCTTGGACAGTCAACGGCCAGTTCTTCACCCAGACCCATTTCCCTAGTAATACCAGAGAGGGAACCTTATTGGAAGAGCAACCCAAGAGGTAGGATGTCCCAGCAACAGTTAGGGCACTGGACTTGGCGTCAAGGAAGGCCTGGCTTCAAATCCTCCCTCCGATGTTTGTTACCTGTGTGATCTTGGGCATGTCACTTAAATTACTGCACCTCGGTTTCCTTTTCTGTAAAATAGGATTTGACCATAGAGAACCCTTTCAGTTCTAGATCTATGATTCCTTCTTGCTCTGCTTCTCTGTTTCTATCTGTAGCTATTTTCTCTCGGTAGATTATAATCTCCTTGAGGGCAGGAACTGTCACAATTTCTGCCTTTGTTTCCTCAGTGCTGAGTACAGTGTCCAGGCATAAGGAGCCTCTCAAAAATACTGTTGAATAGTTGAGTCCTCTTTCTTCTCCCTGGTACCCTATGTCCTTTGTCCCCAACCTTGCAATTACTGCAATGTTACAGTAAATTATTTCTTTTTGGAAAGTGCTGTGTATTAAGGTGCTAGAGGAATATGACAGTGTATTGAGAGTGCCAAGACATCACAACAGCGTTAAGGTCCCTTACCTGTGCACATGGGTGAGCTCCTGAGGACAGGGTTTCATTGTTGTCCATTGCCACCCTTGCTGACCTTCTGGTGGCAAGGTTCTGGTGTCTGGTAACTCGACACCTCACCCCAGAACACAAAGTCATTGGACTGCGTTTTCTCATCTGTGAGTCACAGCCCTTCTCACGACCTGGAAGTTTAGTACAGAGACTCATTTCCCTTTGTAGAAAGGATAATATTGTGGCTTTAACTGAAGTGGGTGCTTGAGAATAGGGGTGCAGCTTATGTGGGATGCTAATGTTGTGCACTGAATTAGGCTAATTCCTGGATCCTGCTCCCAGCATACACACACACACACACACACACACACACACACACACACATGCATCATATAAACTGTTTTTCTTATGCTTTGCCAGGAGGACATCAAAAATGTTTTATGAGTGCATTGTTTTTATAAATAGTCACTTTTTGATCACCTCCCTCAAATAGTTCATCCAGAACAACCAATACAGTGACCTTGTCTGATAATATGTTACCTTCTGCCCCCATAGACACACACACACACACACACACACACACACACACACACACACTCGCTACCCAGAAGAGGGAGGCATGTTTTGTTATTTCTTTTTAGTGACCAACATTTTGGTCATTGTCATTACTTTTAGTCTGACTTCCTTCAAGTGTTCTTTTTAGTTATTCTATTGTCCTCATGATGTCTTGTGGTCCAGGAGGATTTTAAAAAGGCCCAGGGAGACAACTTAACTAAGGTGGTTTGTGAGCCTAAGGTGTCTGAGGCAGAAGCTGGGACCCAGGACTGCTCCCTAATCCTGGCTCAATCTGAAGTAAATCCGAGCTGCCTCTTCTTGGTTCTGGATTCAAAAGGTGGTGAGTGCTGGGCCTGTTTGGGGCTCAAACAGTTGGGAGGTGTGGGAGACAAGGGATGGCCCTGGGAGTGGGCATTGGACCACATAGCTTCCCAGTGCTTATGAAAGGGGCTCTCTTTGTCTGCGCCAGTGAGGCCAGAGAGCTTGGGACTTGAAACTCTTCTGAAACGAAATAGTAGGGCCGGGGAAGCGTGGAACAGGGTAAGCCGGGCCAGGTTCCCCAATGCACTAACTTGTGTTCCTAATTCCAGACATTACTCACATGCTCGAAGTCATGAATAAGCACAAGTCTAACCTGGAAAAGGTAAGGCCTTTGAGGTGATCTTTGAGTCCTGGGGCTCAGGCTATTGTTGGTTGAAGCAAATGGCTTCTCCAGACCCTTCTCCCCACTTTCCCCTGCCCTTTCCCCAGTCAGGGAAACCCTAATTATTTTCACCAAAGGTCCTAGTACCCCTCTGAATCTGAGCCAAACCCCAGCTACCCTGCTAAGGGAGGAATTAGAGGCTGCCACTGAGAGGTGGCATCTGGAGGAGAAAGCCCAGAAGCCATAAGCAAGTCTAAAAATAATAATAAAACTTACATTTTTATGTGTTCATAAAGTCCTTTGACATCCATTCTCCAGTGGAGTAAATTAATTGTGGAGGTGATAGTTGAGAGCCAGAAGGAATCTCAGAGCTCTGGTAGGCCAACCCGGGTCCTCATTTTAACAGGTGAGTTAAATGAGTCCCAGAGAAGTGAATTAGCTTACCTAAGGACACCACAAGGCACAGCTAGGTGCTGCAGTGGATTGAATGCCAGGCCTGGAGTCAGAAAGACTCATCTTTGTGAGTTCAAATCTGGCCTCAGACACTTACTGGCTGTGTGACCCTGGGCAAGTCACTTAACCTTGTTTGCTTGTTTCCTCATCTGTAAAATGAGCTTGAGAAGGAAATGGCAAACCACTCCAGTAGCTCTTGCCAAGAAAAATCCCACAGCGGGTCATGAAGAGTCAGACATGATTGGCGATGACTGAACAATAACAAAAAGGGCACATATCTGTAAGCTGTTAAGAGCTGGGTTAGCCTAGTTCCTCTGGAGGCAGTGGAAAGAGCCCTAGCTCCCGAATCATAGGACCAAGGTTCAAATCTTACCTCTTGACTTCTTATTGGGGGGGAGGGGAGAGAGAGAGATAATTTGGAACTGAAAATAAATTTTAAACGTTTTTTAAAAACAAATCTTCTGGGGCAGCTAGGTAGTGTAGTGGATAGAACTCCAGCCTGGGAGTCAGGAGGACCTCAATTCAAATTTGACCTCAGACACTTAACACTTACTAGCTGTGTGACCCTGGGCAACTCACTTAACCTCCACTGCCTCACCAGAAAGCCAAAAAAAAAACCCAACCTAAAAACAAAAAACACATCTTCCCTCTGATGCTTGCCTTGTGGGGTAACTAAAAGCAAAGTCACTTAACTTTACTGAGCCTCAGTTTTTTTTATGTAAAAAATGAGGAGTCCGGACTCTGCCATCCTTCCCAGGCTACTATAATCTAAATTCAGTGTTCTTTTCCCTATGCTGGGCTAGAAGGTATATACAGTATTTTTTTCTGGCCTGGGACCTGTCATTTCACTGGGTAGAGAACTATCGAGGAAACAGTCTACCAGCATAGATAGGTCAGTCAGTCAGGAGACATTGAGAAGTGAGCGTTGTGTGCCACGCACCGTGCCTAGGAACCAAGGACACATGAAAGGCAAAAGCCCCTTCCCTTAAAGGGCTCACATGTGATTATGGGAGACAGCACGCTAGCAGCCATGTAGATTCAAGATCTATATGTACTATGTAAATCAAAGATAACATCAGAGGGCTCTGGCAGAGTTCTAACATTTGTGTTCTAGAAGAGTTGTCTGGGGGCACTGGAGAGGTCCAACTGATTTGTCCAAGGGTACTCAGACAGGTCTTTCGATTTTGGGACCACTGTGCCTCAGTACAAAGTTACCCCCATTTTGTGGAGGAGGAAGCTGAGGCCAGAGAGATTTTTACTCACTTGCCCAAAGTCACAAAGCTAATAAATGGCAGAGGTGGAATTTGAACCTAGGTCACTGGAGTCCAGGTCTTCCCAGTATAGTAAGTGGGAGTGCACACGTTCTTTGTGTGTTCACCCTTTGTCCCTGGCACATATCCTGCTTTACCCCTGGATCTGCTCTTTTTATTCCCATGCGAGCACACAAACACACACACACACATACACACTCACATTCATGCACTCACACACATGCATACACACACTCTCACACTCACATACATGTACACACTCATACACTCTCTCACACTCGCACTCACTCACCCATACTCACTTATATAAAAACACCTACCCAGAAGAGCATTGCGAGTTGCTTTTTAAGCTGAATGTTATGACTTGTAAGAAATTCTTCTATTTACCCCACCACACATAACCCCTAGGGTCAGCTTCCACCATACATATGTAACCACTCATGGTTCACAACCTTGACTTGGCTTGACACTAGCTGTGTGACCCTGGGCAAGTCACTTAACCCCAAGTGCCTCACAAAAACCAACAAACAAACAAACAAAAAAAAGACACAACTTTGACTTGGCCCCAAACACATGAGAACTGGGAGGGCTTGGTTTCTCCTCCAGTCCTTAGCCTCATCCTATCCTCCCTTCCCATGGCTGGCTTCCCATGAGTGACAGGCATTTGTCTATGTCCACATTGTTCCTAGTTAGGGATCCAGGACTTCCAGGAGCAGGACATCCGGAGTCACCAAAGCTATTCCCGAAAAACACTGATTGCCCTGGTCACCTCAGGTCTCCTGTTAGCAGCTCTGGGCACGGCTGGCTACTTCCTCATGAACCGTCGGAGCTGGAGCCCTGCAGGAGAGAGATTGGTCAGTTCTGGGAGCTGGTGAGGACACCAGGGTTGGTTAAGAGAGGAGTCAGAGGTTTTGCAGGGCTACTTCATAGCATGATCACAATGTCATAGCTAATAGTGTCAGAGCTGGAAAAGACCTTTTAAGTTCACAGAGTCTGACCCTCTCATTGTAAGGGTGAGGGAAACTGAGACTTCTGTGGGTAAAAGTATGAAGAAAGCATCCCCTTTCCCACTGGAAAAGCAAGCCTTCCCTGACTCCCTTCTTCCATATACATCCAGTTTTATCACAAGGTGCTGGGTTATGGGAGAGGGAGGGTTCTTTGCTCACTGGAGTCCAGTTTGTGAGGGAGAACCTCTGTGTTTAGTAGATAGAAAGGAATGCTAAGGTCATGCATTCATTGCTGCCTGTGGGGAAAGCTGCAGTGTGTGGTGGTGGTGGGGAGAATAGGAGTCTTTTCAAATCATTCAGACTTATTTATAAAGCTGTTAGATGCTGGGAGATACCACCAGGACCTTTCCTTTGCCCCATAAGTAGGTGGTGGATGTAGCAGTCACCAGCCTGTCTGCACTTCTTTGGTCAGGAAGAGGTTGGGGCTAGGAGAGAAGAGAAGGTTGTGGGCAAATCTTTTGGGAAACACTATTTCCTGGCCTGGCATCCTGATATGCCTAGCCTGCCCTGGGAATGTGCTCTGGCCAGGGGGACCATCCAGGCCTCCCTACCAGGCCAACCTCTTGCCATCAGTGACATGTTTTGGTGCCTCTCTCCTCTGTCCCCAGGAGCTGGAGCCCTGACCTGTTCTTCAGGAAGAATGGAGTCTTCAAATACAGATGTCACTCCTCTCCTCCTCCCCTCCTTCTTTTTCCCCCTCCTCTTTGGGACCCACACCAATCGACCCCATACTTTCCTGTTTCAGTAATGCTCCCTTTATTTATATACTGTCTAGGGAGAAGACCCCTATTACACGGAGAATGGTGGAGGCCAGGGATATGGTGCAGGCCCTGGGGCCAGCCCTGATTCACAGGAAAAGGCCAGTCAGAACCGAGGGGCCCAAGAGAATGGGACCAGCCAGGCCACATCCAGCAATGGCCACTCGTCCAGACAGCACGTGGTGGCTGATACAGAACTGTGATGGGACAAGGAAGGGCTTGGAGCTGGTGGGGTGAGGGCAAAGACCATCCCCCCAGAGAGCTCTAGGCTCCTCCCCACCCTTCCCTCCCTGCTGTCCATGTAGTACACCAGTTCCCAAATTGTTCTTACCCTTTATCATTCTCCCTCTCCCTCTCACTACACATAGCTTTTTTTGTGTTCCTAGGTTGGGCTGGGGGAGGAATTTCTCTTATTACCAGATCCCCAGGTCAGTGGTGCCTCTTTACTACTCTGGACAGCGTGCCCTGCTGGGGACCCTAACTCTTACCTTGGTCTATTTGGGGCCAGGGTGTGACAAGAAAGAGCTAAGGCTCCAGAACCCATATATAGTACTATATAAATAGGGACTGGGCTCCTGGGGCATGAGCCAAGCTCCAGATGAATCTCTCTCCCTGATAGACCAGAGAGTTAGTACCTCTGCCACCCTGGTCTCTCTCCCCACCTCTACCTCCCCCTAGGGCCCCACTCTCCTACTGCTAATTCCTAGGAAGAGAGGAAAAGTTGGGGCTGCCAATGCTTCTGTGTAGGATGCCCATTATTCCGGGCTTTCCCTTCCATTTTCTTCCTTTCTTGTAAGGAAGCCACATTAACCACTTTCTGTCCTTCCTGCCTACTTATCAAGACTAAACAACTTGTTTTTCCCCAAATGTTTCCCTCTGTCCTCCTACAAAACAGAATTGGCTGTCCTTGCCTTCCCTCTTAAGCCCAATACAGCCCAGCCATTTCTCTTGTAAGCAAATATGCCCGTGGGCAGCTCTCTGTGAGATGGGGATTAGAACTAACCAGATTCTTAAATTTTTTTTTTTGGTCTGTACTCATGCATTTGTAGGTATATACTGGTATGTGGGGACGTATCGGTGATAGCAAATTGTGCTCAATCTTGGCCTCCTCTGGGGAAAGTGGTGGGGGGAGTAGAGATCACAAACCTCTTCTTGGGCACAGGAAGCTGGGCCGAGGGGTGCGGCCTGTTGGCAGCTCCTGTGGCTTCCCTAAGAAAGTGCCCAAACGAGAGCCTTGGAAAGGCAAGATGACATTATTTCTGACTGTCACAGCCTTGACCTCCTCATCTGTAGCTCTCAGGAGTTTATACTAGTGCCATCCCTTCATGAGCCTCGCTCCCCCAGTTCCCCGTGCCTCCACATCCCTTTCACACCCAACACTCTTTGCTCACCACCAGGAGTCAGCCTCTTGGGAGAAAAGGATAGAATAGTTCTGGAGAGGGAGGAAGCAAGAGTCCCTGGGTTCAGCAGCCCTTAGAAGCTATTACTTTCCAGAGGCAGGGAAGAGGGTTGTAATTTTTGGGGTTTTTTCCACCTTGAGAAAAAATGTTTGTAAATACTGTAATTAAAGTGATAGTAAAATGGGTATGTTTCTATCGCTCAGGTCTGGGCTCCTTATTCAGTAAACATTTATTAAGCACTTATTTACCTTGTCTGAGGAACTAAGCACCTGGACATAAAAAAAAAGGCAAAAACATGACCCTTGCCTTTGAGGAACTCACATTCTAATGGAGGAACACAAGCAAAACTCTTACCTGAGATAATGACCCTGCCTACCTGGTCACTGGAAGTGGGGACCCCCGTCTGGGGAGGGTTGTTTCTAGAGTACGCCGGCTCAGGGGACCCAAAGGCCAAGGAATCTCCACTCCTTCTATTTGTCAACCTTGGAGAAAAAAAAAAACAACTAACTCCAAGGGGTGTCATAGGAGGGTCATTTCTTTAGGGGGTATAGTGCCAAGCTGGAGGGAGGTGCTGTTCGTACTGATTAGGCCCTGAAAAACCTTGGGTAGAGTGGATAGGAGTTGTGTTGGCAGTTTCCTTCTAAAGGAAAAATGGAAAGACCCAATGTTAAAACTAGATGTTATCGATCTTGGCAGAATAATGGGCTCTGAATACAAGGATGGCCAGTACAATAGGAATTTTGGAGGGGTGTGGGAATTTCATGAGGCCCAGCCCATTACAGAGGTCTATTCTGTGAACTCTGGGTCTAGTTTCTGTGCAACTCACTAGATAGGGAAACCTTTTGGGGTCTGAATAAAAATAAAAGGGCAGGGGAATTACCAGCAAGGTCTTATCCCTTTTCTACTATCTATAAAATGGGAATATTTAAAATAACTACTACTTAACCTCAGGGTGATAGTAAAGAACATGCTTTTTATAAACCAAAGGCACTAAAGAAATGTGAGGTATCATTATCATCCCTGGCTCTCTGCTTTCCTTCTAGGACCTGAAGCCTGAGCCTCAGGGACCAGATAACAGAGATATTTGGGGAGCTCACTCTCTAGATACTCTACCACCTGCTAAGACATTCGCTTTCACCCACCGCTTTAGGAAAATAAGTGTAAATGGAACTTCATGCACCCCCTGACCCACCCAAGATTTTCCGTAGTCCTTTGGCCGTAGGAAGCCAAGAGGGCATAATGCCAGTCATGTCTGCACAGCTCAGTGACCCCAGGAAATTTGCAGGGCATGTAAATGGGGTCAGAAGCTACCAGGGCCAAATGAAGGTCTGATCCTCGCATTCTTATCTGGCCTGGACCAGGCCTTCCCCCTCCAACAGCTTCCTAGTCTTCACCCCTCCCACTCCTTTTACCCTTGGGTTTTTTCTGGCCTCATATTCAGACCCCGTGTTCCATGAGGCTCTAGAGGAGGAAAGGGAATTGAGGCTGGAAAAATCCAAAGATAGGAAGGAGTCTTGTTTGTCACTGTGTTGGGGCAGGAAAGGGATGATGGTTATTTTTTGTAACTAGCTGGGTTTGTGAAAGTTGGGGAGGGGTGGGGCTGGCAGCTCCCTTGAAAATATGGGGGAGGGGGAATATGAGTGTTGTTATCAGTAGATTATAATAAGTTCCTTGAGGATAGATAGTTTGATTTTTGTCTTTGTATTTCCAGCACCTAGCCCAGTGTCATGCACATAGTAGATGCTTAATAAATGCTTGTTGAGTAATTGATGTCTGGTAGCAAGGCCCTGGTGACAGCTAGGTGGCAAAGTGGATAGAGCACCAGCCCTGGGGGCAGGAAGATGAGTTCAAATGTGGCCTCAGACACTAGCTATGTGACCTGGGCAAGTCACTTAACCCTGTTTGCCTCAGTTTCCTCATCTGTAAAATGAGCTTGAGAACGAAATGACCAACCACTCCAGTATCTTTACCAAGAAAACCTCAAATGGGGTCAGAAAGAGTTGGACGCGACTGAAATGATTCCAGAATAACAAAATGCCTGGCGTACTAGGAACCTGTCCAATTCCTATCCCATGTAGGATAGGGGGAGGGGGAGGTTTGTGTCTGTTGGAGGCTAAATGCCGGGGGGGGGGGGGGGGGGGGGGGGCAGCGTAACTGTTCTCTGTGACAGCTGGGAAGTCACGTCCCTTTCTCCGGTACCCCGAGGTCGGTCCCACCCCTTTGGAGCTCGTCAGCAGCGATGCGGCAATCGCCCCATCTACTGGTCTTTGCGGGCTCGTGCGGCTGGGTCCTGTCCAAAGCTTCGCATGAAGCCACGGAAGGGAGCAAAGGGAACGAGGAGGGCTGCGCCGGTTTACCGTTGGCCTTTCAGATGCCATCTACGCTTCGGCTTCTCGCTTCCCCCACCTTGCCCCACGTCCCCTATAGCAAAAACTTGTGGCCCCCGCCTGCTTTGGACATTCTTTGCACTAGCTGATGGGGGAACATGCGAATGTAGGGAGGAGAGGTATTGAATTACCTTTGCGGTTTTGCCTCTAGGACATTCCGGGCAAGAGCCTTGTTCTTGGCTCATTTATAACCGGGCCCTCCTAGGATCACAGAATGTTCGAGCTGGAAGGAGCCTCGGGGAGGATGTCGGCCAATCTCCTCATTTAGCAGGCAAAGAAAACTAAGCCCAGAGACAAGGAATTACTTGCCCAAGGTCACCTAGGTAGTGGGGAGCAGAGCCAGGATTCAAACCCAGGGCTCTTGTGGTGGTATTATGAAATATCTCCTTGCAAGGTCTTGCCTATCTGCCATAACAATGATTAGGAGCCCTGGGCTTGGGGAGAGGGGCAGGGGGACCCACAGTGTGCATCAACAATGGGAAACAAAAAGCCTAATTTGATCTTAGGCTACATTAAGGGGAGAGTGGAGAAAGAATTATTTACTGAGTACCTACTGTGTGCAAGGCTTGGGAGGGGGGTACCACCCACTGAAGATGAATAAGACATGATCCCTGCTCTCAAGGGGATGTACAACCTAGCTGGGAAGAATAGACATGCACAGTCATAACTACAATACAAAGCAGGATGGCATTGATCTGTATAAAAAGTGTTACAAATTTCAGAGACAGAAAGAGGTTACTCCTGGCTGGGAGCCAGATGTACCGGCAATTAGGGAAGACTTCATGGAGGAGGTGGCATTGGAGTTAGGCCTTAGATACGCAGAATTTTAATGGGAAGAGAAGGGATGAAAACAGCATGGGTCAAGGGTACCAAGGATGATTAAGACAAGTTTAGCCAGCACACAGAGTACGTACTGGAGAGAAGTAGAAGATTGAGCTGGAAAGATAGATTGGAACCAGATGGGAGAGCCTTGAATGATGCAATTAGAAATTACTTTTCTTAGGTAAGCAATAGGAATCATTCAAGATCTTTGAACTAAGGAGTGATAGGATCAAAGTTATACACCTGAAAGAGTAATTTAGGCATTAAGTCATTCAGTAAGGAAATGCCATTGGAAGATATTGGACAAAGAAGAGATTGGAGGCAGGGAGATCAGTTAGGAGTCCAGCAGAGAAGTGAGCAGAGGACAGGGTTTTGGCAGTGGAAATGATATGAAGGGGTTAGATATTAAAAACCTCAAAAGTGTAGAATAGACAGGAGGTGGTGGCCTGGACCCACTGCTTTCCTGGTATGGCTGAGTCAAGAAGGGATACGTTAGGCTCATGCCAAGACTGTCAGCACAGGGTGGATTCCCACAATCACAATCAGAGGTCTAGGCTTTGGGGAGACAAGGTGAATCAGACAGATAATCAGCACCCCAACACTCACTTGTTAGCATGAATCCCTGCTGTTAATGATAGCTAACATTTGTACAGTGTCTACTTTGTACCAGACACTGCTAGGCACTTGAGAAATATTATCTCATTTTGACTGTCACAACAACCCTGGAAGGTAGGTGCTATTATTATTCCCATTTTACAGATGGGAAACTGAGACAAGCAGTGGTCAAGTGACTTGCTTGGGGTTGCACAGCTAGTAGGTGTTAGAGGTCAAATTTGAACTCGGATCTTCCCGATTCCAGGCCTGGTATTGAATCCACAGCACCACCTAGCTTCTGTTGCTCTTGCAATAAGTTTCCTGCCTCTTTCTTAACCACTTGGATTCTTAACCACTTCTGAACCATGTTGGTTCCCTCTTGCTTCCATCCCAATTCAGGTCCTGCTTCTCTCCCCATGAGCAGGCTCCTTGTTCAAAGGCCAGAGCCTTGTCATAATCACCTGCATTCTCGTGCTTAGCACACAGTAGGCACTTAATAAACACTGGTTGACTGACTGATTGTACGTCTTGCCTCTAAACCAGGCAGGATTCTACATTGACATCTAGGTGGTCAGCTAGCCGGGTGGGTAGCATTGGACTTAAAGTATGGGAGATCTGAGTTCAAATTGTACCTCAGCTCCTTCACTTAAACTCCCTCAGCCTCAATGTCCTCATCTGAAAATGGGGATAATAATAGCACCTACCTTGTTGTGAAGATCAAATCCATGTAAATCACTTTGCAAACCTTGAAGTTTTCATATAAACACTACTGTGATTATAGCCAATTGAATATTGGAGCAGATAACAAGAATCAGGGATGACCCCCGGATTCTGTGCCTCAGTTTGCCACTGGGTCTGGACGAATTGTTTTTGTTTTGAGGGGGAAGATAATAAATTGCAGACATATTGTTTCAGAAAAAAAACTGTTCTCCATATTGAGTGTGAGATACTAGCTGGCCATCTAGTTGCAGATATCCAAAAGTTCGTTGGAGATCTGGGGCTGGACCCTGGAAGAGCTATCCAGGACAGAGGTAAAGAGATGCTAGCAGCATCTGCAAAGAAGCAGTAATAGCCGAAGCCACATGGGAAAGGATGGGAGCACTGACTGAAGAAGAGTTATTACTGGGGATACGGTGCCGGAAGACTGTCCATCCCTAGTAGGCAAAGGGAGGAAGAGGAGCCTACAGAGAAGAGAGAGCAGAAACAGAACGGTCGGAAGAGGATCACAGATGCCAAGAAAGGAAAAAATCCCTAGAAGAGGAGGGTGATTCACCGTAACAGTAATAATAATAATAATAATAATAAAAATAGCTAATATTTGTTGTTGTTGAGTCATTTCAGTTGTGCTCAATCTTAGTGATGCTATTTGAGATTTTCTTGGCAAAGCTACCATTTCCTT